AGAGATAGAAGAACCGTCACTCATGCATAGGATGAACATGCGCTTGAGAGAGGTTGTTAATGACCTTGGGGTTTTACCAAACCAAGGCTTAATCATGGGCTATTCGAATGACTCAAGTTGATTGGTTGCTGAATCTTGAAATTGGGTTTTATTGCTTATTCTTCTAACTTGAATTGAAGGCATTTGAGCCAATGTTTTAGATAGATTTTAGCCTAGGATTTTAGTTTTTGAATAAAGATATACTATGTTGTTAATCAGATAAGAATTGACCAATTTAGTATTGGTAGTTGTTTCCTAAATCCCCGTGGGAACGATACTCTATTCATTACTTTACTACTTGAACGACTAGTGCACTTGCTAGTGTCACAATGAGCCACATCAGGTAGGCACTAGTCGGCTGACTTTGACATGAAGCGATTGAGGGCTGCTATCCGGCCGGTAAGTCTTTGGGTTTCCTTCACCGTCCGGGGAGGTGCCATATCTAGTATGGCTTGTATCTTCTCAGGGTTAGCCTCAATGCCTCTTTGAGTGATGACGAAGCCCAAAAATTTGCCTGTTGTGATGCTGGAGGCACACTGGCTGGGGTTAAGCTTCATGTTGTACTTCCGCAAAGTGTCAAAGGTCTCAGCTAGGTCCGAGATATGGGTCTCGGCCTTCATGCTTTTTACTACCATGTGATCCACATAAGCTTCGACGTTCCTCCCCATCTGATCTTTGAATACCTTGTTGACATGGCGTTGGTAGGTGGCCCCGGCATTTTTGAGGCCGAAGGGCATCACTCGGTAGCAATATGTGCCATGCTCGATGATGAACGAGGTCTTCTCTTCATCATCTAGGTGCATCTTTTATTTGGTTGTATCCAGAGAAGGCATCCATGAAGTTGAATAGTTCGTACCCTGCAGTGGCATCAACGAGGTGGTCTATCCTTGGCAAAGGAAAACTGTCCTTGTGGCAGACTCAGTTAAAGTCTGTGAAATCAGTATAGATCCGCCATTTCCTGTTAGCTTTCTTTACCATAACCACATTTGACAACCAGTTAGGGTAGTGTACCACTCGGATGAAGCCAATGTCGAGTAGCTTCCCAACTTCCTCTCCTATGGCCTTCCAACGTTCCGGTGCAAAGTTCCTTTTCCTGTGCCGGACTGGCCTAGAGCTCAGGTCCACGCTCAGCCTGTGAGTAATGACTGAAGGGTCAATTCTGGGCATGTCGATGACGAACCAAGCAAAGATGTCGTCATTGAATTTGAGGAAACTTAATTGTTTGGATAGGCTCTCTGGGGAAAGGTTGGACCCGACACGGACTATTTTTTTGGGCTCTTCCTCATCTAGGGGGACCGAGAAGAGGTTCTCTGCCAGTTGGCCTTGGCTCGCTAGCTCTTCTCTGAGGTCAAGGCCCTCTAGTGATAGAGCTTCTTTATTTTTTCCCTTCAACGCTGCTACATAGCACTGGCGGGCAGCATGCTGGTCCCCACGAACAAATCCGACGCCATGCTCGGTGGGGAACTTGAAAGCGAGGTGGTAGGAGGAGATGGCTTCCTGGAGTGTGTCAAGGGTTGGTCTCCCCTTGATTATGTTGTAGGGTGAGCCGATCCTCACGACCAGGAACTCTGTCATCCTCATCACCTACTGGGGCTCCGTCCCTACTGTGACTGGTAGGGTGACCTTGTCCTCTGGTCTGACAATGTTGTCGGAGAAGCCAACTAGTGGGATGTCTGCTGGCTGAAGGCGCTCCGATGCTATCTTCATCTTCTCGAAAGCTTCGTAGAAGAGGATGTCGGCCGAAGAGCTGCTATCAACGAGAATCCTCTTAACTATGAAGTTTGCAATGATGGCTGAAACCACCAAAGAGTCATTGTGGGGGACTGCTACCACCATCAAATCCCCGTTCATGAGGGAGAGGGACTCTTTCTACTTCTTCTTCTTGGGGGCCAGTCCCTGGATGTTTAACTGCCTGGCATAGGCCTTGCGAGCTGAGGCCGAGGCTTCACCCGAGGCCGTGCCTCCAGCTATGACGTCGATGACGCTGACTATTTGTTGATGCTGCTGAGAGGACGAGGCGCCAGCCTCGCCCCTGACATACTGCTTGAGGTGGCCATGGAGGATGAGGGACTCTATCTCATTCTTGAGATCGTAGCAGTCCTTGTTGAAACTTGCAGTACTTCTTCGGGTTCCCCCTTTGGGGATTCTTCTTCAATTTCTCAGGCCACTTCATGAATTTCTCCTCCCCGATTTGCATCAGAATCTACGTGCACGTGGAGTTGAGCGGCGTGTATTGGTTGTAAGCCAGGGCCGAGGCCGGTGGCTTCTTGCTGCTATTGTTGTTGTTGCGATTGTGATCTCCATTCTTTCTCTTCTTCTCCGGGGCTCCATCCTGGTGCTCGATGTCCCTCTCTTGATCATCCCCAGCTGAAGCCTCTTCGACTGCAATGTACTTCTGGGTCCTCTCAAGGAACTC